AGATAAAGCCATGTAATGGAGATTTTACCAAGTGTTGACATCTAACACTTTGCTGCTTCTGAACAGCTCTGTGCCGCTTTAAATGTTGACAAAAAAAGTGTGGACCGAGACCTTGATGTATACCGCAACCTGCTTTCGAAGTTGGTTCAGGCGAAGGAGCTCCTAAAGGAATACGTTGATAGGTAAGAGATTTTTTTAAGTTCATGGTTCCTGGCCTGGTAGATTAACATACCCACAATCTGCGCTTTCACACCACCATATTTTCTTGGATTTTATGAACCCATAATCGTTTTGAAACCGATCCAGTATTTGTCAAATCTTCTGCAACTCACCGTCATATAATTTATATTCACTAGATATCCACCACTTGGCTGTGTTAGTGATGTTTTATGAAAGTTTAAATGAAGTATTTATGCATTCAATGTTTATGATATGTATACTGTGGCGATCTTAAATTAAGTAGAAAATTTTTTATCGTTACATGGATCTTGGGTGAAGCTTGCTGTATTTTAAGATGAAAGTGATGTTTTATGAAAGTTTAAATGAAATATTTCTGCATTCAATGTTCATGATATGTATACAGTGGTGACCTTAAATTAAGTAGAAAATTTCGGGTCGTTATATGGATCTTGGGTGAGGCTGGCTGTGTTTTAAGATGAAGGTGATGTTTTATCAAAGTTTAAATGAAGTATTTTTACCTTCAATGTTCATGATATGTACACGTGGTGACTTTAAATTAAGTAGAAAATTTCGGGTCGTTACATGGATCTTGGGTGAGGCTGACTGTGTGTTAAAGATGAAGGTGATGTTTTATGAAAGTTTAAATTAAATATTTCTGCATTCAATATTCATGATATATATACAGTGACGACCTTAAATTAAATAGAAAATTTCGAGTCGTTACATGGATGTTGTGGGAGGCCTAAAAATGAGGCAGAATTGGGTGGATCATGGTATAATTAACCAGTTCTCTTCAATTCTGTTTTTTCCTATAGGGAGAAAAAGAAAAGAGATGAGAGGGCTGGATCACAGACAGCTAACGAGGCCGTAACAAAATGAAGGGGTGAATACAGCATAGAGAGTGGTTTTTGAGAGCTGATGACATCAATTGGAGCACTCACCGCCTAATTTGAGATAAGACTTTAAAGAGTTATAGCAATATTCTAAATACCTGATAGATATGCATTTGTACTGTATTGTTGGGTCTTCTGCATTTGGTAAATTTTGTATTCTGCCAGCTTCTACTTTTCTTCTCATTTGTATTATATATTTTGATTGCAATTGTCTATACAAATGCTTTCGCACTCTGTGCAGTAATCATATTTGTCTCTCTCTTGACCATTTGTTTTTCTCTCTTTTTTTCTTTGTATGTGCAACAATGTCTGGATGTCTGGCTTCGTATGAAGCCCTCGCCTCCCCTTAATTGAGGCTTGACTCCTTTCTCTGAAGCCTTCGAACAAAGTACACCCTTTGTTCGACATTTGAGTCGCTTTTGACTACACTTTCGAGGGTCTTAATTTCTTTGTTCAATATTTGAGGATTCTATTGACATGACTCAGTTAAGGGCATGATTTTGATACCATGTTAGGAATCACGGAGTTCTACAATAGTATGATATTGTCCACTTTGAACATAAGCTCTCATAGCTCTGATTTTGGTTTCCCCAAAAGGCCTCGTACTAATGGAGATGTATGCTTTACCTATAAACTCATAATCATTCCCTTACTTAGTCATTGTGGAATTTCCACCCAACCATTATCATATGAATATATTTTAGATGTTTAGTGTGCTACATTTTGTCACCTTCATGTACTTTGCCATCATTCTTCCTTTATCTTCACCACCTTCATATAGTAACAATAACTTACCATAGATGAAATTATACTTTTATTTCTTTCAATTTGGAACCAATTTATATTCGATTTTATAACAAAACTCGAACTCTAAGAACAAATCTATAGAAGGGAAGAGAGATTTGCTGGTGGATCGAGGCAATTGAACCCGCAATATAATCTATATCTGTGAGATGAAGCTATCCTTGAAGGCACAACCAGTGAGAGTAAAGAACGACCAACAAATTTGCGACCCAGAACCGAGCGATGATCAAGGACTCTAACGGTGATTATTCTTAGGGATGAGCTCCAAATTCAAAAGCGATCGAGGGAAAAAGTTCGTGACAAAGGTATGAACAAAATGTGAAATGGCGCATGAGTGGTTGAAAAGATTAATCAATCAAATGCAAATTATAAATTGAAAATTTTTAGAATATAAAGGAAACTATTATTTGATACGACATTATGTTGTAGGAGCTTCATACATAATATTAATGGGAATTTGGAGCTTTTTGTACATACGTATTGTAGTTTAACGACACATACATTATTCTATTGTGTTTATATTTGGTGGATGGCCATGGCCATACGGTCAAAGCCAACCAAGCACTCAGTATGGCTATAACTTTAAAATATTGAACAAACAGATCTCCCTCCACCAACAATTGATTACGATCAAGCTTACGATCGCTTTAAGATATCGCCATCAAATTTAAGAAACCTTCACGATTTGATCATCAGAATGATAGAACAACAACGATACTCCACAATAGTATGATATTGTCTACTTTAAACATAGTTTTGCTTCAATATTCACTTTTCTTCCCAAAATACCTCATACTAATAGAGATAACGATATTTTCCTTAACTAGCCACGGTAAGACTTCAACACAAAACTTCATCTAAATTCGTTTCGGCCCAACAAAAAGAACTAAAATTATGAAAACAAAGCTTATGATTGCTTAAGGATATTGTCATGAAGTTGTAGAACCTTCACGATTTGATCATTAGAATGATAGAATAACAACGAAGCGATGCTATGATATTTTCTACTTTTGAATGTTCGCTCGTTTTCTCGAAATGTCTGATACCAAGCGTCTCTTACTTAAACACCTACGATCTTCCTCTTAACTAACCAAGGTAAGACTTTAACACCGGATTCGTTTGAATGAGTTTGAATTTGATACCAAACCAAAATACAGACGGACAGACATACAATTTTCAGCCACATGATTATATGCTGATTATTGCTCTGCTACAGTGAACAAATGTCAACATAAGATGAGCTTGAGTTGACTTTGTACTGTGTGTTTGTTCCACGTGGAGGAATTCTAGTGGTCTTGTTCATAAGAACCTAAGGCTACAGCTTGGAGAGTTTGGAAATTTGTAGGTGAAGAGATCTGGACTTACACGCCATTGTTGTTGCTGATAATGAAGAAAAATGAGAGGCTGTGTGTAAAAACGTCGACGTTTTTAGGGCATTTTTATAATATTTTGTTGCTCAACCATCCAAAATCAAGCTAGATTCTCTTTTTCTATTATTTTAACTTAAATTCAAGGCCCTTATTTGAATGCCTCATCATAGACTTCATGACTCATCATTGAATTATGAATCTCAAGTTTGAATAACGTTTTATGATCCGTAAAGATTAGGGTAAGATAAACTCAACGATATGATTAGCAAATGCTTCATAACCCGTTCTGTACGTTCTTGTCGTTGTCTAAAAAAATTGAGTATAAAAGATATTCGATTAGTAACCCTCTAAGGGGGTCAGACATACGTGTACGTGTAATCACAAACATACAATCTGTTATAAGGAACCTGAGTCTGAACTGTCTAAATATGAATCCCGAAACTGATGGGTCAATTCTAGTAGTGTATGAGCTCGGAGTTCTAGAAGATTTTACCTTAACTGATGAGAATTGATACTTGGTGGAGTTGAGTTCGATTCAGCATAGTGTCTCGTGAAATTATAGTTAATCATTACACTTTCATGATTTACATAGCGACATGTCATTCACACATTTTCTTGAGACATCCGAGCTGATTATCCATAATACTCGACATATATCCATGTGCATTTTGACACATGAATTCCTAAACCCTAAGGTTCGTTAGAACAGTCACTTACATAATGCTTTAGGGCTAAATATATTAGGATTAGACGATTATCCAAAAAAATTAGTCGAAATGCAAATAAGTTGACTCGAACGTTTATAAAAAATAATCCTATTTTCACGTTAATTGAAAATTCTAATATTATCTTTCTATTATTCTCTTATCTATTTGAAAAATGGGCGGTTCCTTATAAAGAAGAAAGAACTACTTTTTCCAAGCAAGCTTGCTTAGCATACAAGGAAAAGAAAATTAAGGCATATTATTATACCGAGCGGAACAATCTTAACATTATAGTTTAGAACGATATATGTTTTTCGAGTTTATTTTCGTATGAATTTACTTTCGATATCATTCAAAAGATCGACTTATATCTATTGAAATATTATATATACTTATAGGCACACGGGTTTTTCGACGTTTAGCTAACAAATAGTGAGTTTAGATATTCGACGTAAACTTAACAACGTCCTAACACAAATTATAAGTTCGAATCTATCCAATTAATTAGTTGGCTTAGAATTAGAAGCAATGTTGAAGGAGGAAATGAAACACGACCAAAAACATGAAATGTAAAACATATTTTTCTACGAAGTTGATGGGAAAACTTAACTACCATGACCGTCCAATCATTCCCATAAGTCAATATAACACAAAACCAAATGTCAACTCCCCCCAAATCAAAACATAGCTCATTTAGGCCTTTACTTAGCTCCTAATCTCTCCTCTTTTTCTCAAACTTTTCTCCAATGTCAACTCATGTGCATCCACATTCTATATATGTATGTATGTATGGTCCATGCCTCTCGAGTCAAAGAACCCATTTGCAAATCTACCGATAAAAGCTTATATTTAGGTTAAATTATCAGGTCGCTCTATGAACTTTTCAATTTCGGTTAAATAAGTCATTAAATTACTTTGGAACTTTAAGATTTCGAAGCCCTATTAGATATATACTTTCTAAAGCAGAATATAAACGTGTTAGACAACGAATATGAAACTTTATAAACTAAACTTACAATTTAACCTTCAATTATTTATAACGCGTTAACTTAACTTTTTGGATTCAATAGGAAAGCAAGAATTTCTATGCACTTTCCATGTCAACTCATGTATGCACATGTGCATCTACATAACCATGCATGTATGAATGCATGGTCCCTTTCTCACAAAGTCAACCCCCTAACATGTCACCTAAACTTCGACTTCATTTCATCATTTTCTAGCTAAAAGACAAAATAACAACCTACGTGTACATGCATGCATCCATACGTACATAAACAAGTGTCCGAAATGAACACGTCGACACCAAATACGTTTGACTTATAACATGTCACATTTCAGCTCCTACCCTAAATGACGTGTATATAAAAAGCTCATCTTTATGATTATTAGTGTCTTATAATACAGTTCATTGCCAGCTCCTGTTTCCTTTGACCCTGTTTTTAAGGAAGGAACTGTCCAAGGTGTTGGCTAGGTAGCAACTGAGAATGGGACGAGCTCCATGCTGTGATAAGAATGGCCTGAAAAAGGGTCCATGGACTCCTGAGGAAGATCAGAAGCTTGTTGGCTATATTCAAATTCATGGGCCTGGGAATTGGCGTACTCTTCCTAAAAATGCTGGTGTGTTCTTGTGTGTTCTTGTTTGTTCTTGTGTGTTCTTGTTTGTTCTTGATTGTTCTTGTTTGTGTGTTGAAATTTAAGAGCTGAAATGAAAAGTTGAGCCTTTTTGTTGGGATGTTTTGTAGGACTTCAAAGATGTGGGAAAAGTTGTAGGCTTCGGTGGACTAATTACCTGAGACCTGATATTAAGAGAGGGAGGTTTTCTTTTGAAGAGGAAGAGACTATAATCCAATTGCATAGTGTCTTGGGAAACAAGTAAGAATAATCGTGTTTTTTTTTCTAAATTATGAACTCGGATGTAACAGTTCAGGTCCACCGCTAGTAGATATTGTCTTCTTTAGGTTTTCTCTTTCGGGTTTCCTTCAAGATTTTAAGACGTGTCTATTAGGAACAAGTTTTCACACCCTTGTAAAGAAAGGTTTGTTTCTCTCTTCAACTAATTTAAGATTTCACACCTGAAGGAGGGTGGACACTAGGTAGTGTGTCAGTGAGAACACTGAGCCCCGAAGGAGGGTGGACACTGGCGGTGTGCCATTGAGGACGCTAGACCCCGAAGGAGGGGGGAGATCGGGTGGTGTGCCAGCGAGAACACTGGGCCCCGAATGAGTGTGAATTGTGAGATCCCAATCGATTAAAGAGGGGAACGAGTGTCAGTAAAGACGTTGGCCCTGAACAGGGGTGGATTGTGAGATCCCACATCAGTTGGAGAGGGGGTTAAAACATTTTTTTATATGGGTGTGGAAACCTCTCCCGTGTTTTAAAACCTTTTAGGGTAAGTCCGAAAAGGGAAAACCCAAAGAGGACAATATCTGATAGCGGTGGGTTTGGGCTATTACATAGGAAACTTGTATGATGCTCACAAATGGTTGATTTTTGTTGTTGTCTTAGATGGTCAGCGATAGCTACTCATTTACCTGGAAGAACAGATAACGAGATCAAGAACTACTGGAATACTCACATTAGAAAAAAACTCCTTCGAATGGGAATCGACCCTGTAACCCACACTCCACGAATCGATCTTCTCGACCTATCCTCCATCATCGCCACTGCCATCCGCAGCCACCCAATCCTCGGTCTCTCAACCTTATTAAACAACCAAGCTCAAGCTCTAAACCCTGAATCTCTAAGGCTAATTTCCACCCTCTTAGCCCTCAAACAAGAAAGAGACCCAAATGCCAACAATTCCCAACTCCAAAATCAAGAACATGCTCAAATTCAAGCTCAAATGGACACATTATCACAACTCTTACAACCCAACGAGGAATTCAATAATAACACAAACTCTTCAATGATACCCATCACAAACTTCGTTGAGTGCTCAAATTCTCAAGAAAATATGAATTTCTTAGCTTCAAATTTGAGTGGTGATGATGTTTTGATGAACCAAGTAAATGATGTGTACGATGATGGCTCGCAACCTAAGGCTTCAGATTTACCAGAAATTACAAATGATCTTCAGAATTCTTCATCTACTTGCATGAACAACAGCAGCAATGAGGATGAGAGAGACAGTTTTTGTAGTAATTTTTTGCAGTTTGAAATTCCTCAAGGTTTGGACTTTGATGATTTCATGTAATTTTTTTTTTTGAATATTTAGGGTATGTTCTATAACTTTAGGGTTTTTTTTATTTTTTTTTGGTGTATCTTAATTTCCACGATGAATCAAATTGAACTGATCGTATAATATATGGTGGATTGATTCTGGTTGTACTATTTATGTTTCAAATACGATGTTGATTCTTTATGATTTAGAACTAACTACACAAACCCAGATGAAAAATTTATCTTTATGAAAAATCGAGTTAAAGTTGCAATTGAAAAATTTTGAACATTGAATAAGTAGACAGACAGATTTGTGTTAAGATTCTTTGTTCCAAGAAACTTTCCCCTCAAGTTGTTCTATCTATTTCATTTATTTGTTTTAGTATATATAGATCGTGTGTCATGTCAAACAAATTTGTGGGTGATTGTCCTCTTGGTGCAATCCACAACCACAAGACACAACATCCTCGAAAACACGAGCAACAAGACTGATAGACGAACAATGATTTAGCAAAGATTCAAATGATGAATCACTAAAAGAAAAAAAAAAAAAAAAGGGGGAGATCCAACCTTCAAATTGAACAAGAGGAAAGACTTGAACGGTTGCTAAGGAGGTGGAAAAGCTTCAAATCAACGAGTAGAATAATGGGTCAAAACCTGACTCGAGACTCAATTATAATTTAGTAGAAACACCAAAGAAGAGATGGAGAAAAACTCACAAAAATAGCAAAACAAAGCCTCCAAAACAATGGTACCTCCAAAAGCAATTACCAAGCCTTGGCTGCTAAAACAAAGCCTCCGCTGCATGTAATGTATGATGGATGATATTGTAGCATTGATTCAATAAATCATTATAAAGTTGAGCCTTTTCTTTATCTTTTCCTAACCCATAATTGAGTTCTTGGACCCCAAAAGGGACCCATAATCAAAGCCTAAACTTTTTGGTGGAATAATTGGTGCCTTTAGCTCATGTTCCAATGCCCATAAGGTGTTCGACATTTGTCCTCAATGAGAAAGAAAGGAATAAACTTGTGTACAAAACACCAAAACTATGCCTCCAACTTGAAGATTTTGAATTGTATTTGGGATTAGAAAGAAACCCAAATCGCCAAAAACACTTTTTGGTTGCTTTTTGAAGTGTCCATACAGATTAAAATAACAATGTGAAAGCTTGACGGTGTGTTTGCAGTGGGAAAGTGGAACGTTGGTGGCCACTCCACGTGAACCTTTCCCTTCTCTCTCTCTAGATATGAGAAAGAAAAGATGGGTTTGAGTCTGCCATGGCTGTAACGCACGCAAAGCAAGAAAAGGATCTCTGTAAACTCATCCACATATAACACTTCACCTCACAAAATGTCCAACCCTCTTAAGATGCCTTTCCATTTCTTATATCTTTACCGGTAAACCATATCTACTCACAAAAGACTTGAACTAACTCTTACAAATGGTATTAGAATCAGACATCGGGCTAAGATGCTCGGCTCTCAGGGGTGGATTATGAGATCTCACGTGGTTGAAGAGGGCAACAAAACTTTCCTCACAAGGGTGGGAAAACTTCTCTCTATCAGATGAGTTGTAAAATTGCGAGTTTGACGACAAAATGTAACGGGCCAAAGCAAACAATATCTACTAGCGGTGGGCTTGGACTATTAGAAATAGTATCAGAACTAGACATCAAGTGGTGTGTCAACGAGGATATTGACCCTCAAGAGGTAGATTATGAGATCTCACATTGGTTGAAGAGATGAACGAAACTTTCCTTATAATGGTGTGAAAACCTCTCCCTAGCATTTGTGTTGTAAAATCGTGAACTGAATATGATACGTAATGGGTCAAAGCGGACAAGTATAAGTATAAGTATTAAGTTTAATCCATATCTAAAAAGAGTAATGAAAAGAAGCATGTAATGGGTACTTTTTATTTTATTTCTAACTTTATACTAAAATTAAAAATGATCAACAAAGGTGACCCATGAGACTTTAAGAGAAAGAACCCAATATTTTATTTATAATGCAATTCAATTGGCAAAGCTTTTTAGGTTGGGAATTTAATAGAACAAACTTTTCATAAACAATTGTGATCTCCTTCAAAATCATTGTTGGTATCATTACACATCAAGCATTAGTAAAGTATGTTCTTTTTTTCTTTGATGAATCATGTGATGCAACTATCCCACCTTATGGAGAGACGAAGTCAAATGAAGTTGGAGTGTTCTTGAGCCCGAATCGAAAACTTTCGCATAAAATTATTTTGATTATCTTACAAGTTTCAACCTTGAATCTTCCGTTCATAGGTTTGATGGGTCATTGAACTTAAACTACAGCTCAAACTCACTGTTCTCAAATATTGTCTGTTTGACACATTATGTATCGCTATCAGCCTTATAGTTTTAAAACGCGTCTGGTAGGAAGAGGTTCTCACACCCTTATTTCCTCTCCAACTGAGGTAAGATCTCACAATTCACCTCTCTTGGGGGCCAGCGTCTTCATTGGTACACTGTTCAGTGTTTGGCTCTGATATCATTTGTAACAACTCAAATCTACCACTAGTAAATGTTGTTTGTTTTGACCTGTTACATATCACCATCAACATTATAAAGTTTCGAAAGTGTAGAGACTAAATTTATAATTAAACGAAAGGTTCGAAAACCCTAAAAAGACCTCAAACGAGAAACGCAAACCAATTATAGCAAGGTGTTTGGCTTGTAAGATTGGAGATAGATCTATAAGAACATCCCTACTCCCAAACATATAACCATTTCACTTTATACACCGAATTTCAATAGTGATTTGCTTTGCTTTGCTTTCTTTCATATCACTCTCTTATCACATTTTCTCCCCACCATTCAAATAGATAAAGAAAACAAAACTTTTGTACCTTTCTCTTCCCCTTTCCTTTCCTTTTCTCTTCCTCTCCACCAAACCAATCCTCAACACTCCCACTACCAATTTCCCTCTCCTTTTACAAACAACACATGAACTTAGTGCAAAATAATTGAGGCATTGTATTGCAATATATAACCAACATTCCTTCTAGTGATGCCATTTCATTTTTGTTTGAGATTTCTCCTCTTCTTCCTTACACTTTTCACTTCAAAACCCTTCATTTTTTTGTGGGTTTTGTTCAACATTTGAGAATGTTTTTGAATCCTCTCCAAAAGCTAGAAAAAATCCCACTTTTAAAACCCTAATCTTTAAGCATTTCATCACTCTTTTCCCATTCTAATCATATTTTCTCCATTACCAAACCTCTAATTACCAAAAACAAGAATACCCATTTCTTCATTTCCCCCAAAAATGCTTAATTTCGCCCAAAAATGTCTAATTTGCTTCGTTTTCTTAAGCATTGCTACAAATTTTCATTCAACTTCAGCTGGTTTTCTCATCGAACCGGTTTCCGGCCAAAGCCAGCCACAAAATCCCGGCGAATACTCATCCTCCAACACGGTGCCGGCCTTTCCGGTCCAAACCCAGATGCAAATTTGCCATCTTGATCTCTCCGACGAGCTTTTCGGCGGCGTTAGGGAGGCTTGCGGTCGAGACTTAGACCGGAGTCGGTGCTGTCCAGTTCTAGCCGCATGGCTTTTTGCCGCTCATGCACGCGCCGCCCTGAAGATTACCACTCCGGCGCCGTCGGACCTGCCGATGATGCCGGACGACTCACAGAAATGCGTGAACTCGCTGCAGGCGTCGCTGTTGAGTAGAAATATAAAGATTCCACAGCCGAATGCAAGCTGCGACGCCGTTTTGTGCTTTTGTGGGATTCGGCTTCATCAAATTAGCTCGTTGTCTTGCCCCGCTGCCTTTAATGTCTCCGGCGACGGCGTTCGCGACGGCTACCGGAACGCCACCCCGACGGCCGTCGTCCGTAATCTTGAAAAGAATTGCCGGAACTCATCTTATTCCGGTTGCACGAAATGCCTTGGTGCCCTTCAAAAGGTAATATTAAATTAAAATTATATAACAATCTGTGTTTAATTTAATTAAAATGTTTCGTTATTTGTAACAGTTTGGTCCTTGGAATTTCTTATTATTTTTCTTTCCCCCCACTATTTTTTCCTATTTGCAAATCAGCCCTACGGTGTGTTTGGACGCGAGTATATAATGTTCTTTGTCGGGATTTATAAATCCAGGTTACGGCAACGAAGAAGAACGCCACCAGCGACAGAGTGAGTAAAATGTTCAACAGAGACTGCCAGCTCATGGGGCTGACGTGGCTCCTCGCCCGTAACAAAACGGCGTATATCCCCACCGTTTCGGCCGTACTACGAGCCATCATGTACAGCGCCCACCCTCCTCACGAGTCTACGTGTAGTCCGGACCAAGAAAACATGCCGCTGGCCGTCGATTCGTTACAGATGGAAAAAGCGCAGTCGTCATCGCCACCGTCCATTTCTCTGATTCCGATTATACCCCTATTGGTTATTGGTTATTGGCTTGCTTGGTAGTGGGCGTAGGGGTAATTATGGGTTGGGATCCGTTTGTTTTGTAATTTTTTGAGCCTGTCGGGTTCACGTGAAGCTAGTGGACAAAAATAAGGGATGATGAGGGGCTTTTTTGTCTTTTCGCTACACTGTAAATGTCAAATCTGGGTGCTTTTTTTTTTTTTTTTACTGTTTTTACTCTCTTCCCATTCGCTTTCTTGTGACAAATTTTTCCTTGGGGCTTTCAATTAAACCAGAAAGTAAAAAACTTTGCAGTTCTTAAATCATCATTATACTTCGAAAAGTTACCGAGTAAATTTTTCTTGGAAATTAGAGAATTTACCAAAGGTGATACCTTTATCCCTTAAGATCGGGACCCGTTTAGTAAAGGAGTGGGGTGTCATGTTTATTCTCGTCTAGAGCGTGTTGTCAATAGTTGCATATAATGATAAGTCAAACCCTTTATTCGCTTTTATGTTGTATTTTTTGTTTATATTACGGTTTGACAAAATTATGTATGTTCGTTAGACCTGAATCGCCTCAAAATATATTACTAAGAAGACCAAGTAGTGATCAAACCTCCTCCTGACCAAGTAGTGCCAACTTGTTTTCAACGGTTTCCCTCAACCACGTTTTCTAAAATTTTCTCTCAAAACTTAGCTTGACGCTCGACCATTCGCCAAAATTGACCACAAAGTCTAATTTTCACATGGCTAGCTTGTTCGAAGTACCACATTATCATTAAGTCCGCTGATTCGAAAGTGTGACAATGGGAACACAAATTATATTCCCGATCCCCAATCCCACCTTAATTTCATTCCTGTCTTACTTTTTAAATATACATATAAAGATATATATACATATCCAAACTAACTTATTATATATTTACGCTCGTAAGTTGGTTGGAAATTAAATATTGAAATAATTACAAAATTTCAAAATTGTCCATCAACCTTTATATTAATATAAAGTTAAATGTCTCGATGATCTACCGTCCATGTAAAATACTCGTTACTCTAATCTATATCTCTATTGAAACGATGCTGATCACTTGCAAGGATAAATTAGACAGATTTAAAGCTCGAGCCGTAAATATAAGAAATTTTAAGAATTATATATAAGAAATCCAGTGTGCATTCATGTACTGAATACAAAATGAAGTTAATATCAGTGGCATTGTATCTTAATATATGGCAACCAACATGGCTATAACATATAGCACGAGAAAAATGAGTGATGGAGAAAAAATTTACTTCAAATTGAAGGGTTGGATGTGGAGAGATGTACATGAAGAGGAGGCTTAAGCCCACCATGGATTTTCGCCAGTTCTGAAGTCGGTTTCGACCCACGGGACGAACACGACCTTCCCGTCGTCTACATCGGCATGAACCAATGCTAGAGACTGTCCCAACACAAAATTTGAACTTCATTTAGTAACTAACTAATGTATAATCTAACAGTTCAAGATTGTGTTGCTGGTTTAAACAAAGGCCTTGCAATGGCATGAAAGCAAAGGGATTACCAGAGGTGCTGGTCCTCGGACGACTCTGCCTTGATCGTTGTACTGGGATCCATGGCACGGGCAGATGAACTTGTTCTCAGCTGCATTCCATGGCACGACGCATCCGAGGTGAGTGCAAACTGCGTTGATTCCGAACGTTGCGAGCGTTTTATCCTTTTCGACTACAAGGTAGGTAGGATCACCCTGAAATCATCATCAACAGATTGCCTTTTACTGTACATACCTTTTGTTCATAACAGCACAGTAATTAACATTCAGAAACTCGTGAATTGTGTAAGCTTTGCATTTCAAATGACTTGATGTGAGATCTCACATCGATTGGAGAGGAGAGCCAAGTATTCTTTATAAGGGGTGAAAATCTCTCCCTAATAGACACGTTTTAAAAAACTTGAGAGAAAACTCACAATATCTACTAGCGGTGAACTTGGGCTGTTACAAATGGTATCAGAGCCAGACACCATGTGGTGTGCCAGTGAGGACGCTAGCCCAAAGGGGGAGGATTGTGATATCCCACATCGGTTGTAGTGGGGAACAAAGCATTCGTTATAAGGGTGTGAAAACCTCTCCGTAGCAGACGTCTTTTAAAAACCTTGAGGGAAAGCTCAAAGAGGACAATATTTGCTAGCGATGAGCTTTAGCTGTTACAAATGATATCAGAGTCAGGTTACCAAACGGTGCGAGTCACTGGGCTAGACTCTCTCTATAATAGAGCGTTTTAAAAATCTTGAAGGGAAGCCGGAAAGGGAAACCAAAGAAGATAATATTTACAAGTAGTGGGTTACACTCAAAGAAGCATAAGATCTTTGAGAACAAGGGCTGCACGGTGCCAATACCTACACCTACTCAGTATTTACAACATCGTTTGCTACCAAGGGCTGCACGGTGCCAATACCTACTCAATATTTACAACATCATTAAGCAAACGACAATGACCCTATTATATTTGATTACCAAGGTAACTTTAAGCAGCGACCACCATGACTTAAACTCGTTCTCTCTAGTCCCAATGACCCTATTATATTTGATTACCGAGGTAACTTGTAGAACATTAAATTGTAGATATAAGCAGCGACCACCATGACTTAAACTCGCTCTCTCTAGTCCCTTATCATTTACACGACGTTTATTAACCACTAGGCCAACGCACGGTTCATTCATTAAGCAAAGTTAGAGAGTTACAGCACCTTCAACCCCTGTGTGAGAGTTCGGTCTCCAGGGCCATGCACATTAAGCCAGTCAGCAGCCAAAACATCATTTCCAAGAGCATCCTTGGCCACAACTCCACCACCAGAACCTCCAGTACTGTCATTGTATACACAAAAAGGCTCAAAAAGTTACCAGGTGAACAATCATACTACAGCAAGTACAGTTAGTCCAATAAGCTCAATTGTACAGACATGGCAGCAAGCTATGAACTTATTAGCTTAGACACTTTTCATCGACACAAAATTGAAAACTCGAGCTTATTAGACATAATTTTCAAATTTCGGAAACTAAACTTGTAATTTAACCTTTGTTTATCATAATAATGTACTTATACAAGAAGGCATTTCATCAACTAAGCCGTCAAAGACATTTCTAATCTCATTCATTCCTACTAATTGAAGCTATACATCATGCTAATCTTAGTCCACCGCTAGCATATATTGTCCTCTTTGGGCTTCCCTTCAAGGTTTTAAAACGTGTCTACAAGAGAGAGGTTTCCACATCGTTATAAGCAATGATTCGTTTCCCTCTCCAACCGATGTGGGATCTCACAATCCACCCCGCTTGGGAGCCTAGCATCCTCCCTGGCACACAGCTTGGTGTCTAGCTCTGATACCATTTGTAACAGTCCAAGTCCACCGTTAGCATGTATTATCCTTTTTGGGTTTTCCCTTCTGGACTTGCCCTCAAGGTTCTAAAACGCATCTACTAGGAAGAAGTTTTCGCATCCTTATAAGCAATGCTTCGTTGCCTTCTCCAACCGAAATGGGATCTTACAATCCACTCCCTTGGGAGTCCAGCATACTTGCTCGCACACAGCTCAGTATCTAGATTTGATACCATTTGTAACAGTCTAAGTCCACCGCTACCATATATTGTCCTCTTTCTTCTACTAGGGAGAAGTTTCCACATCGTTATAAGCAATGCTTTGTTCCCCTCTCCAACCAATGTGGGATCTCACAATCCACTCCCTTGGGATCCTCGCTGGCACACCGCTCGGTGTCTAGCTCTAATATCATTTGTAACTGTCAAGTTCCATCGCAACCATCCACCTAACCAGCCAGCCATTACAGGATCACAGAGGAAAACTTACCCAGGAGGGACAAAGAAATAGGTGTAAGGATACAACATGGTAGCAGTGGGAAGCCCAATAGCACCCAGAAGAAGCAGATTCATGGTTTTCCTTTTCTCCATATCCGGCACTCGATCAGCCGGAATACTCGTGGCTTGACAACTGATTTTGCCGCCCATTCCATTTCCCTTTGCCCCCATTTGAGTGCTTTTAGGTTTCCTCAAAAGCGCTTGAGAGGGACAGAACAACGCGCTTCTGCCGGCGCATAGCTGAATGAAAACAACAACAATCGGCAACAAACTTCAATGGAAATTCAGAACAAAAAACAATCATAGATACCTGTGAGGAAGTTGCAGAAGAAAGAGTGGAGGAAGCCATGGATGGAGCAGAGCAAGAACTGGAGGGGATTTCGTAGCAATTGATATGTGGGTAATGATCTACTAGTGAGTGGAGTAGAGATTTGAGAGATTGTTCGTGAGGTTCCTGAATTTTGATGCCCACTAAAGTGATAAGATAAGCCTATTTGCCTCATCGCTTCACTATGGCCACAAACTTCATCTCTTTTTTTTTCTTTTTTAATACACTTCCAATCCATTCCAAATAGTTCATAATTACCCTTTAATCAAAAGTTTGTTTATACTAATACTCAATAATTTAAATAATTTAAAATTTTATTTTCTAAAAAGAAAAATAACTATTTCGTCCATAACAATCAAATGATTACCTTCCAGTTACCGTTGTCATGTAAATTATTAATTAATAAATTAATAAATAGAATTTAAATATTTTAATTTATTCTTATACAAACTTATTCTAAGGGTCGTACTAATAAATTAAACGAAATTAAAAAAAGAATATTATTTAAAATAATGTTTTATTTTTATTGAGAAGACTTTAATTGCAGTCTAGGCTTTGTGACATAAAATGTAAACGTGGCTAATATGACGTTTTTGCATTGTTGTCCCTAATAATTAATAATTTACCTTGATTTTTTTATTATTAATTCTCGGTTACTTATTTTAATTAAAATTAGATAAAATAAAAATATTTTTCAAATAAATGAAAATAAAATCCGCTCAAATACCTATTTAAAATAACATCTTCAAAATATTAATAAATAACATAAATCTTAATCATTTTCGTTTATAATATAAGTCAACTTAAGTATATATATATATATTTATTATTAGAATATTAGAAGTTTCGATTTATTTATTTATTTTCATGTGGTTTAATAATAGGAACAATAATACATAACATAATTATGACCCAAGTTGTAACCGTCCAAACCCATTACTAGTAGATATTGTTCGTTTTGGTCCGTTACACAACTGTATCACACGATTTGGTACAACTCTAATACCATTTATAATAGTTCAAGTCCATCGCTAATAAATATTATCTACTTTAGCTCGTTATGTATCGCTATCAATCTTACGATTTTGAAATGCATTTATTAGGGAGAACTACACCTTCATAAGAAATATTTTTTCCTTTTTGAATGGAATTTCACGAGAATTTTTTATTTTTATTTTTTAAGTCAAAAAAAAATAATTGAATTGGTCTAGGTTGAGGGAATTGGTGTTTAACTTAAAAAAAATATATATATATATCAAACTCCCACGAATAATGGTCAACTTTTGGGTTCTTTTCTTTATTTATTATTGTTATTTTAATTTTGTAATACAATTAATAATTTCCAAAAATTTTGTTTTTTAAATCCATCCAAAAACTTAGTGGCCATGTTTTAACTGACGTCACTCCAAAACATTTAATTAATTTATTTGTTGGTTGATCGGACGGTGGAATTTCAAATCTCAGCGCAATAATTTTCATCGACGGTGGATATTAATATTGCTAGACCATCCTGGTAATTAGAAAATATAATTAATAAATCGATTATTTTGTGTAAAAATACATATTAATCCCGTGTTCTTAGTTTTTTATAATAAGCCACAGCTTTTGGACTTTAATTAATAATTATTATTTAGGTTTGAAACTAATTTAAAAATTAGCTTATAAAAATAATTTAAATAATTATTCATTATATTTTATAAGGAAAAAAAAATTAAACATGGTTTGAATTAGTTTTGTTTTTTTTTAAATTAATCTCTTATTATCATTTTCAAGTCATCGGTACAATTTCTAGGAATTGAACGCTCCATGTCTAGGATTTAGAATCCAAATTTAGTACCTGATAGCCTCCGTATTCCTTTGTGACATGGTCACGTTACTTACTCCTCATTTCTAAAAGTGAAAACTATCTCTACAAACCAACACAAGTTCGGATTCAGTACTTAATAGCCTCGATATCCCGTTTGTGATATGGTCGTGTGAGAGGAGAACAAAACACTCCTTATAAGATTGTTAAAATCTCTCATTAGCAGACACATTTTAAAACCGTGAGGTTGACGACGGTACTTAACAAGCCAAAACGGACAATATTTGTTAGTGGTGGGCATTAGTTGTTACAAGTGGTACCAGAGTCAGTCACAAAGAAGTGGATTGTGAGATTCCACATTAGTTAGAGAGGGGAACGAAATATTCATTACAAAGGTGTGGAAACCTCTCACTAACATAGCATTTTAAAACATACTGAAATTACTCGAATTCAAAAATTTTACAAAAACAATGTGTTATTTAGTAAAAGGGTCAAATCTCGTGGGGGAAGAAAAATATCATTACTATATTCATACGAGACAAACTAATTAATTAACATAAATCAACGTCATCCTAAGTTTTTAATTATGGTACGAGTTTAGATACCATGAGAATGTGACATTAATTTAAATTTTCAAATATGGTGGCCTTATTATATAGTTTCCATCATGTTTAGACCCTAAAAATCTATCATCTTTGAAAATAATTATAATGCCAACAACAACAAATTAAAATTATTATTTATTTTGCATTCATATCTAATATTTCATTTTCATCCTTTCTCAATTTCTATAGTCAATGTACAAAATTACTTATATTCATAACTAATTATCCGTTGATATTATCAACGGATATTGTGATGTCATCTCATGTCTCTTATATATCGGTCATAGACCGAGACCCATAAACTAGGGGTACATGATCCGTGTTAGGTTGGGGAATTTTTTTTACTCACACCAGAAGTTCAGGTTGGTTGGATTGGCTCGGATCCACCCGAAGGTTTTGTCCACGAATCCAAAATTGAACCAATTCAGTTCGGGTTCAGAAAAATGAACTCAACCCTACTCGAAATGCTAATTCAACCCAACCCAACCCTTATAGTTCGAGTTGGGTTAGTCCGGGTTGCCCTTTAGAGTTAAAATTTTGTATAAAAAAACAAAAACGAAGAAATGCGGTAAAAATGATTAAGATTAAACATTTAAAAATTATAAATATGAAATTGACAGTCGGATTAATATGAATTGACGCGTACAAAAAAAAATATATTAAAACGACCGGACACTAGATCTATGAAAAAAATATAATAATAATAATTCAATAAGTCTTCTCCTTTTTTGTTTTGTTAAATATCCATGACTTTAATCAATAAATATAATTTATCAAGCTCATAACTAAATCATCTCATTATTTCATATTTAAAAAATATATATTACCCAATTTTAAAATAAATTAACAAATTAAATAAATTCTATTTTATATTTAATTTCTTTCGATCCGTTCTTTAATAAATTTTGTTAGGACCTCGGAACATCTATTACTCTCTAGATGAACACAAAGAACAAAGGAGAAAAAATGCAAGTACGAATATTGGTTGATGACTCTATGCAGTAATAGTGAATACAGAAAATGCAGAAAAATACGTTTTCAAAGCATTGTTTAGGAATATATATATATAGTTCAGTTTATTATATATATCTCTGTCGAATTGAGTAAGCTATCTATGGATTTGTGCTCGAACAAAAAAAAATTGATTATTTAATATAATTCTTCTTGAAAAATATATTCATCCAATCCAAATTTGGAAACAATGGGTTCTCCAAGGCCTTGATACTGATAATCAAATGGCAGGTCAAAATCTGAGTCCAGCCATAAAGGGTCAGTCCAAAAATCGCCGGAGGAACTCACCGGCGGCCGATCATTCGCCGGCAGCATGTCGATATTTCCGGCCGTCGGCGTTTCAATGGTCTGAATTAGTACACTCTCTAGAGCCGTTGAATCAATAATGAGCGTGGAGTTATCGTTTGAGCTCAGACTCTCACCGGAAAACCCTTCGTGAATTGGACTTGTTGTCGCCGGCGGCAGCGGCGGTGACGGTGGTGGTGGTGGTGGTGGTGGTGGTTTGTTTGCCATTGTTCTTGACACATTCTTCTGCAATACTCGTCTCTTTAAAACTGTATTCCAATGATTTTTTATATGGTTGTCTGTTCTTCCCGGCATTAGGGAAGCCATGGTAGACCATCTGCATAAATCGAACGTCCCGATTTAATACCATGTTAAATTACTAATAAATTCAAAATTTTAAATCGATCCAGGGAATACCGTCACATGAAATAGTACAAACAATCTCCCAAATGTCCAAAATCAAAGATTGATTTTTTTCTCGAGAAGTCTCGATCTAATACCGTATTAAACCGATTCGAGAAGTACCCATCACATGAAATAGTCAACATAAGCATATGAACTCCCAAATGTTCAAAATCAAAGATTCATTCTTTCCCGAGCAGCCACAAGATTTTAGAAACTCTCAAACTAATACCATATTTAATCACTACCAAATTCAAAGATTTAACCGATCCTAAAAATACCCGCCACATGAAATCGATGAAAGTAAGAGTTGGAGTATACCTGCCACCGATAGCGGCATACATTTTGACTATAATTTCTTCCTCTTTCTTCGAGAAACCCCCTTTTCTGATATCGGGTCTCAAGTAGTTCATCCATCGCAACCTGCAACTCTTTCCACATCTCGAAAGCCCTAAATTTTTCAAACACGGGAAGAAATTAGATCGAAGAAGAGGATGAACGAACGCAAGAAGAAAAGAGAGTGACCTGCAAATTTTGGAAGTCGCCTCCAATTCCAATGGCCATATCTATTAACATAAGAAATAAGCTTTTGGTCTTCTTCAAGCGTCCAAACTCCCTTCTTCACTTGAGTTCGATCACAGCAGCAGCAACATTTCGCCATTTTTTCTCTGTATTTCTCAGTGAAATTGGAAGCCAATGATGAGGGAGCTGTGTATTTATAGACAACCTCAAAATCGTCTCTTGTTGTTCATGTTTCAACGGCTTTTCTTTAGGTTATTTCCTAGAAATGTAACTAGGAGCGTTCGTATCCGAAAGGTTGTAGATTCAAATATTCGTGCTGGGACGGGCAGGAACGAGGAGGCCTTTTTTGTCTAAATCATCCCGACCTATTTCATTTTCCATTTATTTTTGTGAGATTCAAGGCCAAAATTCTCGAACATTTTTAAATTTTTCATTTTTCAATTTAATGGTAAAAAGAAAAAATCATAATAAACCAATTATGGAATTTCAAATTTAATATTACTTTAATCATTACCATTAACTTCTTTAATGTAGGAAAAAAAACGTGTATATATATGTATATATAAAATATGTATTGAAAATATATTTATATTAAATAGGATGAGAACGAGACATAGGGACAAGAATAAGAATATAATCTTCTCCTAATCCCATTTATCTAACAAGAAATTCCTGTTGAAGCAGTAAATTTCCTCCCCAATTGAGATGGATCTCTGTAGGATCCATGGATAAAATAGACCTCTCTCTCGTATTATTTTAATTGGTTTAATATTTCCAATAATGTAGTTATATATATATAATTAATTAATTAATTAATTAATTAATTAATTTGATTTACATTACAAGAGGTTGAATTTTCATTTAAACTAAAAAAAAAGAAATTATTATTATATTGATTCAGACTAGCAAAAAAAACATGAATATCTTGTTCTTTTTTAATATTTCATCAAAATTTCTTATTATTATTTATTTTTTAAAATGAGGTTATCTTAGACATCATTCCATAGATAAGATCAAGCTGGCTCATTTCATTATATTAAATCCATATTCCAATTTCATTCAATTTATTAAAAAAAACATATTTTAAAATTTTATTGAATTGTATGGATACGAGTATGACCCACATATTTATTAAATATTGTCGGAGGATGGTTACCCAAAAATATATATATATATATATAGTTGTATGGATAAGATTCATATTTGACATTTGTAACCGATACTAGTGATGTATTCTGACTTATAAATGTTTGATATCTAAATTTTATGAAATTTTAATTATCAATATAATAAGATAAATATGATTTTTTTAAAATAATTAAAAAAATCCAACCCAACTCGTAGGTTATGAACTCTATTTGAGATTATTGGTTCACCGATCTAACCAACTCAATAATTCAAGTTGATCAAAAAGATTTGTCCAACGTGAGCTAAAATTAATATATTTTTATTAAATTTAGAAGAAGAAAAAAACATTTTTGAGTTGTAACATTGGCGAATTGTGGGGTCATAATAGCGAAGTCTGAACCCCAAAAAATAATAAATCCACGTGGTAATCAGGTAGAGACAAGTCTATGATACTACACCACGTGTTAAATAAGTCATCATCAACAGACTAGATCGAACGGCTAAGATGTGGTCAAAGTAAAATTCATTATTTTAAGTCAATATTTCACCAATATTTTTCTCACTAATTTCTTAACTATGGTTCATAATAAATACTTTTGGATAATCTGACTTTTATTTTTTTATCTCATATTTAAAATATGTACTCTCACATCAATCAATAAAAAAAATTATTATTGGAAATAAATAAAAGAGTAATTAAGTGTGAAAATTAAAAAAATAATAATTTCCAGCTAAGTAATTTAAGGTCAACTCAATTAATAAAATGTAGGTTTTAAATATTTATAAAAATTATTTTTTCTCGAGAATAATTTGAGATAAATAATACTATATATTATAATTATTAATTTCATATTACGAAAATAATTAATTATTTAATTATTCTACAAAATAATTAGTATAAATAAAATAGTTCTTTTCATTAGAGGGAGATGAAACATCCCATCAAAATATTAATTTTAATAGTCTTCGTTAGTTTTTAATAATTTAATTTAATTTTTATTTTATTTTTAATAAAAGCTCGAGAAGAAATTTATTTTTTAAATATATTTTTAATGGTATAAATGATGACACGTGATGTTTTGGTTAGCTTTACGTAACTTTATTACATGTGAATATGATAATAATGACAAAAAAAGAAAAACAAAATATCTTTAAAAATTGAAGATTGAAATGTCGTTCTCCTTGTTCATAAGAAATAATAATGAGAAATATTTATTATAGATGAGTGGTTTGAAATAGAAACACCTGAAACAAATGGCTAAATAAGAGATCGATCACGATGAAAGCTGAGAACGCTGAGTCGGTTCATTGAAGTCGCTTTCGGAGTCAGATACGTGACGAAACCAAAATCTCGAGTAAGATAAGAACAACAAAACTTCTATAACAGCATGATACTGTCTACTCTTGCTTATACATTCAAGATTTTCCCCTCAAATAGACGTCAACTTCCAACACTGACGCACGTTGATACAAGCGAATGTCGTTTTTTAACGTGAGAGAATTCGAGGCATTGTGTATAACTTTTTTCGAAATTAAACTACAAAAAGACATGAATTATCGTTTAAAAAGGTTAGAAATTCAAATATTTTCGGGCTTTTGATGTTTATTTGCTTTATACTTTGCTTTGCTTTTCCCCACACATCAAGCAATCTACTATAAACCCTTTTTCTTTTGGCATATTTGGAGTTTTACGTGGACACTTAATTGCCACCCATTTCACTTTGCCCTTTTCTTATTTATTTATTTATTTTTTTTCCGAGGTTAAGGACTAATTAAGGATCATATGGTAGGAGCCACGCTAGCAGATATTATCCACTCTAGCCCCATTAGTAGATATTGTCTATTTTGTCCCTTACGTATAGCTATCTGCTCGGGAGAGGTTTCATTTCTCTCTCCAACCAAAGATCTCACTTGACCACATTTACCGGTATGAACTAAAAATATAATTTACATTTTTATAAAAATAATTTTTTGCTATAAAAATGTGGTTAACATATGCTTAGATGTGTAGTAAAAGATAATTAACGAGGCTTAATATAATATTTTAGAAATAAAAATATAAGTATTTTATGATTATAATTTTAGATATTTTAGGAATAAATCGAGAAATAAAAATTTATATTAAAATGTTTTATTTATTAATTTAAATATTAAATTTAATTTGGAAATTGTTTTTGTTTTTTTCTTATTAAGTATATGAATAACTTTCGGCCATTGAAGCAGCTCATGAGCACTGGTTTCTCAACGGAAATGAAAAAGGAAAAAAGGGCAGGAAAAAACAAGAACTATCGCGACTGATAATGACGAAGATTAAGGAAGATGATTAAATTAATCAAGTGCCGTTAGGGTTTGGTTGTTGAACTAATCGTTCGTCAATTCTCCAAGCATTTTTAACAAATTCCAGTCTGCAAGTCATTTGGAATCTTGGAATCTTCCTCTTGCTTCCGTTGATCGGTTCTCCGTTTGCATTTTGGGCTCTGTTCTTTCTTTCTTTTCCATTTTCTGGATCAGTTCTTCCATTTTTTGCGCATTTAATCTTTTCTTTGTCATCTGTTTCGCTTCTGATTCGAATTTCCATCAGCTGTATTTCCACCTTTTCCAGCATGAGTCTTCAACCTACGCGATCGGACTTGGAATCTACTGATATTGACGGCGTGAATCCTAATGACTCTGGTCGAATTCAACCGTCGTCGCCGGGTGCTCTTCTATCAGCGCGTCATTCATTGGACTCCCAGCGGAGAATAGCAATTGCTGTTGATTTGAGCGATGAAAGCGCCTACGCTGTCCGTTGGGCTGTTCAGAACTATCTCCGTCCCGGCGATTTGGTGTTTTTTCTTCACGTGCGACCTACCAGCGTTCTTTACGGAGCGGATTGGGGAGCGGTTGACCTTAATCAAAGGAGTAGCGGCAGCGACGATGTTAGCGCCGAGGAATCGCAAAGGAAGCTCGAGGACGATTTCGACAACTTCACGACGACCAAGGCCAGTGACTTGGCTCAACCTTTAGTGGAGGCCAATATTCCTTTCAAGATTCATATAGTCAAAGACCACGACATGAAGGAGAGGCTGTGCTTGGAGGTTGAAAGATTAGGGCTCAGCGCTGTTATCATGGGGAGCCGTGGCTTCGGCGCCTCCAAGCGAATCACTAAGGGCCGACTTGGGAGTGTTAGCGATTACTGCGTTCACCATTGTGTATGTCCAGTAGTGGTGGTCAGGTATCCCGATGACAAGGATGGTTCTCGTGGAGATGCCGATGCCGATGGAAGTACTGGCGGCTCGGTGAAGAGTATTATTGGGGAGGAAGTGGAGCTTGAACCAGTGCCTGAGGACGAGCAGGAGTATCACGACGCTGATGAGGAGATCAAAGGTTCGAGTTCTTGACTTTTTTTTTTTTTTTTTTTTTTTTTTTTTTTTTTTTTTTTTTTTTTTTTTTTTTTTTTTTTTTTTTTTTTTTTTTTTTTT